CCCCGGGGCCCCCGGGGGCCCCGGGGGGCCCCTGGAGGACTTTGTGGGGAAGGTGGCTTTTGAAAAAGTGTCTTTCGCGTACCCCGCGAGGCCGCAGCAGCAAATCTACAGCGAAGTTGAGTTTGCTGTTAATCCCGGAGAGACTGTGGCTCTTGTGGGGCCCTCTGGCTGCGGGAAGTCCACAGCAGTGCAGCTGCTGCTGCGGTTCTATGACCTGGAGCGCTCCACTGCGGTGTCCGCGGGCCCCGCGCAGCAGCAGCAGCAGCAGCAGCAGCAGGGGAAGCAGCAGGGGCCCGGGAGAATCCTCGTGGGAGATAATGATATTCTGGACTTCAACTTAATCCGCCTTCGATCCCAAATTGGACTTGTCAGTCAAGAACCTGTTCTTTTCAATCTTTCCATCCGAGATAATATTGCCTTTTCACGCCCAGACGCCACCCAGGTGAGGCCCACGCTGCTGCTGCTGCTGCTGCTGCTGCGGCTGGGGCAGATGGACACAAGCTGCTGCAGCTGCCGTTCTCGCTGCTGCAGCTGCCGTTCCCGCTGCTGCAGCCGTCGCTCTTGCTGCTACTGCTGCTGCTGCTGCTGCTGCTGCAGAGCGAGATCGAGGAGGCCGCTCGTTTGGCGAACGCGCACGGGTTTATTTCGGAGCTGCCGGACGGCTACGAAACTGCTGCTGGGGCTGGCGGGCTGCTGCTGTCGGGGGGGCAGCGGCAGCGAATTGCAATTGCCCGCGCGCTGCTGCGGCAGCCGCAGCTTTTGATTTTGGACGAAGCCACTTCGGCGCTGGACGCGGAGAGCGAGCGCCAGGTGCAGCGCACGCTGGACGCGCTGCTGCGCAGCAGCAGCAGCAGCAGCAGCAGCAGCAGCAGCAGCGGCAGCAGCGGCAGCAGCGGCAGCAGCAGCGGCAGCGGCAGGAGAAGCACCATTCTTATTGCCCACAGACTCTCCACAGTCAGAAACGCCGATAAGATTGTTGTGCTGCAGCAAAGAGGCAGCAGCGGCAGCAAAGTTGTCGAAGTCGGAACTCACCAGCAGCTCATGGAAATCCCCAACGGAGTCTACAGAGGTCTCGTCCTCGCGTCCCAAGAAGAAGACTCCCAAAGCCCCGCATAAATGCATGCGCTGCATGCATGCATGCATGCATGCATGCATGCAGCGCATGCAGCGCAGGCAAAAAGGTGCTGCGCACATGCAACGCATGCAGAATGCGCGCGGGAGGCCCCTGGGGGGCCCCGGGGGGGGCCAATGGGGGGCCCCTAGGGGGTCCCTAGGGGGCCCCCGGGGGCCCCCAGCTGGTGTGTGTGCTGTGGGTTCTGTGGGGGGGCAGAGAGTGTTATTTTGCTGCTGTTTTCTGCAAAGAGAAGTTTAGGGGGATAAAATAGCCCTTATGTGTTTTATGAAAGTTCTGTAAAGTCCCGGAAAAGGAATTTAAATGTTTTAAGGGACTAATTGGAATTAAAATTGCCTAAGGGGGCCCCCAAGTGAAAGGCCAAAAGACCTGTGGGGCCCCATAGCACGAGCTTGCAGGGCCAAAGTGTCAGTGCGCTTTGCTGCAACGTGCTGCAGCAGTCTGCTGCTGCTGCTGCAGCTTCAGCCCCGGCTTTGCTGCTTCCGTTTTATAATCAAAATGCTCCTGCTGCTCTTTTATTAGCTGCTGCCGTCTCGGCCCCACAGCAGCTGCGAAGTACACGCAGCGCCCGAGGCTGCCCTGCTGCAGCAAACTGCTGCTGCTGCTGCTGCTGTTGCTGCTGCTGCTGGCTGGGCCACCTGGACTCTTTTGAGGTCCACCGGCCAGTTCTGAAAGAGCCAATGGACCAATGGTCCATTTTTATCTCCAACTCTTCCTGCAGCAGCGCAGCAGAAAGAGCAACAGCTGCTTCTGCATGCGCTCGAGGTTTTAAATGGAGAACAGGCAGCAAAGGAAGAAGCAAATGAAGAAGCAAATAAAGAAACAAGTGAAGAAGCAAATGAAGAAAAAAATGATGAAACAAATGAGACATATAGAGACAAAAGGACATAAAGAAGCCCCAGATGAGACATTAGGCAGCCGCAGCTGCAGCAGCAACAGCAGCAGCTACTGCCGAACTGAAGACACAGACAATTGCTGAAGTCCTTATAAAAGAGACACTTGAAGGAGCAGCAGCAAGCAGCAGCAAGCAGCAGCAAGCAGCAGCAAAAGGACACGGGCTATTTGATGCCTCTGCTATCCGCCCTTGGGACTCTGGCTAAGGCGCAGCTGCTTAGAGTCTCCCTGCTGCTGCTGTGCCTTGCTGCTGCAGCTGCAGCAGCAGCAGCGGTGCTGCAGTAAATTAGCTGCCCCCCAAACGCCCCATGTCTAATTACGTGGGCGCCGCTGCAGCATGGGAGGCCTCTCCGCTGCTGCTGCGGTTATTGTTGCTAGTGCTGCTGCTAGCGCTGCTGCTGCTGCAGTTCTTGTTGGTAATACTGCTGCTAGTCCTGCTGCTGCTGCTTCTGATTTCCTGTATAGCTGTCTAGGCTTCCCCGCTGCTGCTCAGCTGCTGCTGCAGCCTGAGGACAGAGAACTCTTCGGAATTGCTGCACTCCTAGACCCCCCTACGACTGCCTAGAGCCCTAGTCTTTGCTAGATTGTGCTGCTGCTGCTGCTGCTGTGAAGTTATACATTGAAAAGAGCCCCGAGGGGCCCCACAGTGAGGTGTCTGTACACCCCAGCAGTCCGCCCCCAGCCGCGCCAAGGGCCCCAGCGCAACAATTAGTTTTTAAATGCCCAGGAAGATTCAGCAAAAGGGCAAAGACTGGGGGCTGCTGCTGCTGGTGGCGCTGCTGCAGCAGCTGCAGCAGCTGCTGCTGCTGCAGCGTGGCCTGGTACACTCGTTGCTGTGACTGCTGAAACCTTTGTGCCGTGCTGTTTGGCCCTGGGGTGCAGCAGCAGCAGCGGCAGCAGCAGCAGCCGCAGCAGCAGCAGCAGGTGTAAGGGCGTACTGAGGTGTATGTACACCCCAATCCAACTGCAGCAGACGCCGCTCCTGTGCTGCTTCGCACAGGGCTACAAGCAGGTTTTAAAGGGACCCTATTAGTGTCTCCTGCCATAAAATGCTGCTGCTGCTGCTGCTGCTGCTGCTGCTGCTGGTGTCATTGATAACAGTGCCGTTTTTGCTGCTGCTGCTGTTCCTAAAGCGCTGCTCCTGCTGCTGCTCTTGAGGCTTTGCTGCTATTGCTGCTACTGCTCTCAGGGCATTGCCGCTGCTGCTGCTCTTAATGCGTCGCCGCTCTTGCTGCTCCTAAGGCGTTGCTGCTGCTGCTGCTCTTAAGGCGTTGTTACTGCTGCTGCTCTTAAGGCGTTGCTGCTGCTGCTGCTCTTACGGGATTGCTGCTGCTGCTCCGCGAGAATCTGCGACGGCCCAGCTTACTGCGGGCGCGTCGCCATGCTGAAAAGATACATCCGAAGACTTGGACGGGTGCTGCTGCTGCTGCTGCTGCTGCAGCTGCTGCTGCTGTGTGGTGCGCGCAGTCCAACTCGCTTCGCCGTCCGGTTCCGTGCTGCTGCCATCTGCTGCCGCTGTTGTTATCGTTGATGCTGCTGCTGCTGCTGCTGCCACTTTCGCTGCTGCTGCATCTCCTTGGTGCTGCAGGAGAGGGGGCTGTAGTGCTGCAGGGCAGCCAGAGAGGAGGCTTTTGATTGCTTCGGCAGCAGCAAACTTTGGGTCCGTATCTGCGCGCAGCTGCTGCAGCAGCAGCTGCTGCTGCTGCAGCAGGAGTTTCTGCCGTTGCTGGGAATCCACCGAGGCCGCCCCAGGAGGAAACTTGTGGGTTTCTAAAGCACCTTGACGAGAAAGTCCCTCCTGTGCTGCTCCTGTAGCAGCAGCAGCAGCTGCTGCTGCTGCTGCTGCAGCAGAACCCAGCCCGTCGCTGCTCTCCCCACTGAAGTTCTGTGTCTGCAGCTGTTCGTGCTGCCTCTGCAGCTGCTGCAGCTGCTCCAGCAGCTGCTGCTGCAGTTGAGTTGTGTCCCCTAGGCTGTGGGCTTGGCGAAGTGCTGCTGATGCAGCTGCGAGGTCAACAAGGGGCTGCTGCTGCTGCAGCTGCTGCAGCTGCTGGGGGAGCTGCTGAAGGTGTGGCTTCGTTGCCTCAGGTGCTTTGCTGCTGCTGCTGCCTTCCCTTTTGCGCGCCTCCACGTGGGCCACTTGGGGACCGCTGCTGCTGCTGCTGCTGCTGCTGCTGTGACCATTGGTCTGGTCCTCTGGCAGCCGCGAGGGCTGCAGAGACATTCGGCTGCAGGCGGGGGCCCCCACTGCTGCTTCTCTTGCTGCTGCTTCTTGGGGATTGTCTCCTTGCCTCGTTTCAAAGCCGAGGCTGCGCAGTGCAGCCAAGGTCCCAGGGCCTCTTGCTGCTGCTGCTGCTGCTGCAGCTGCTGCCGCTGGAGTTGGCGGGGCTGCTGACTTTGCTGCAGCAGCAGCTGCAGCAGCAGCAGCCTGCTGCTGCAGCCAGGCGCTGCCTCCCAAGGCCTCTTTTGCTGCGGCGACATGCTCGTTCTTGTCTTCGTCTTCTGCTGCTGCAGCTGCAGCGAGAGGCACCCCACTTCCAGCTGCAGCAGCAGCAGCAGCAGCAACGGGAGACTTGTTGCGGGGGGGCGTTGCTGCTGTTGAAGAGGGAGAGTCCGAAGGGGTTTGCTGCAGTGCGGCACTGGAAGGGGAGAGCTGGGGGCCCCCCGCCCACCTGCGCAGCTGCTGCTGCTTGGGCTTGCTGCTGCTGCTGGCTGCTGCGGCGCCCGTGAGCGGCGAATCCTGCTGCTGCTGCTGCTGCTGCTGCTGCTTGTGCTGCAGCGAGTGGAAGAAAGCCAAAGAAGTGGAAGACACATCTAGGGCTTGGGCAAAAAGAGATGTGGGGTCCCGCGATTCTTTAATTGCTGCTCTAAAGGCTTCATCTAGGTCATCTTCTGCTGCCTCGGAGTTCTCCCCGGACTCCGATCCATTTGCTGCTGCTGCTGCTGCTGCTGCTGCAGGTTTGGGTTCGCCTGCGGCGTCTACTGCCGCTGCCTCCGCCGCAGGGCAGCGGCCCTGCCGCTGCTGCTGCTGCTGCTGCAGCTGCCGGCGGAAAGAAGCAGCAGCAGGCGCTGGGCGCGACGCAGCGGGGTCCTCCTGGGCAGCAAGGCTGCACCTCAGCGCGGCAACAGCAGCAGCGAATTCGGCAGCAGCAACGGCGGAGCAGGGTGCGGCAGCAGCCGCAGCCGCAGCAGCAGCAGCAGTGGCTGCAGCAGCAGCTGCGTCGGAGGCCTTGGCGTCGTCGGCGGCGCTGCTGCTGGTGCTGCGTTGCTTTTGCCGCAGCAGCTGCTGGTGCTTCTCGTGGGCGAGGAGGGCGGCAGGGTTTTCGGCCTTGACGGTGGCGGCAGCGGCAGCAGCAGCAGCAGCAGCA